TTAGAGAGTCAGACTGGGGCCTGGGAGACCAGGGTTCGAATCCTCACTCGGCCATGAAGCTCAGTGGGTGGCCCTGGGCCAGTCACCATCTCTCAGCCTAACCTACTTCACAGGGTTGTTGTGAGGCGAACAAAGGGAGGATGAAATTGTGTACACCGCCTTAAGCTCCTTGGGTGAAAAGTTTGTGGTGCCATACATTTAAACCACCATCACAATAAATAAAACCTATCAAGAAAACACTGAGAGCGAGAAAGGGGGAAAACAAGGAAAACAGCAGCCCCCCAAACAGAATCATAGAATTGGAAGGAGCCAAGGGTCATCTAGTACAACCCCTGCAATGAAGGAATCACAGCTAAAGCATCCATGACAGACGGCCATACAACCTCTGCTTAAAAACCTCCAAGGAAGGAGAGTCCACAACCTCCGGAAGCAGACTGTTCCACTGTCAAACAGCCCTTACTGTCAGAATACACACACACACACACACACACACACACACACACACGTTTAGGTTGGATCTAAGGTGTAGAAATGTATTTCCTGACTGATGGGGGAAATGGCAAGGTTTATTCCCTGTCTGCTCAAAACCCTTGAGGTTCAAGAATATTTGTGTCTCACCCATCTCACACACACAGCTATGTTCCTCATGGATCAGATTGCCCGCTACCAGGATCCCAGGCCAGAGAAGTATCCTCAGCAAAACAGAATAGTTGCTTATCCCCCAAGGAATGGGTCCCTTCTAATGGATTGTGTCCCTCGTCCTCAGGGGCACACCCTCCTTCTCTGAGACCCTCCTTCTTCTCCATGGCAGCAGGATGGCTATCATCCTGGGAGCGGGACACAGCTGTAACATCCCTAAAAGACTTTGTCCGCCAAACTCGTGAACATCTGTTGAAGCTGGCGAGCATGGCTAACAGTGGCTACCAACCAGCTGCAATGTTCTGCCTCCAGTATGTTCTGACAGCCAGTGTGGTGTAGTGGTTAAGAGCGGTAGACTCGTAATCTGGTGAACCGGGTTCGTGTCTCCGCTCCTCCACATGCAGTTTCTGGGTGACCTTGGGCTAGTCACACTTCTCTGAAGTCTCTCAGCCCCACTCACCTCACAGAGTGTTTGTTGTGGGGGAGGAAGGGAAAGGAGAATGTTAGCCGCTTTGAGACTCCTTAAAGGGAGTGAAAGGTGGGATATCAAATCCAAACTCTTCTTCTTCTTCTTCTTCTTCACTGTCAGAGAGGCAGTAGGCCTCTGAATGCCAGTGACTGGCAATTACAAGTGGGCAGAGTGCTGTCACTCTCATGTCCAGCTTGCAAGCTTCCCATAGGCAACTGGCCGGCCACTGTGACAGCAAGATGCTGTTCCAGATGGGCAACTGGCCTGATCCTGCAGGGGCTTGCATTATGTCCTTAACGTCTCCGCCTCTCTCAGCTTGACCAACTCATCCATTGGGCCAGATGGTTTATCTGATTGGAGACAGTCAGCAGTGATCAGAGGAGGAATGACCACCAGGAGGAGGAGGAGCGCAAAGAGAAGATGAACCATGGTGCATCTGCAGCAGCACAACTGGACGCCTTCATTTGCCCCAGATGCAACAACACATGTCTCTCCTGTATCAGTCTCAGCAGCTACAACAGGCACTATAATTCTACAATCGTTTGACTTTTCCATTGTCTCCTGAGACAGGCAGGTGCCAACCAATACCTGTACCATAAACAAATCAGAATGATATCTGTTCCCACTCACAGCCCTGCGATCGTTTCCCAGGCTCTCAAGAGCTTGGGCTGCTTTGCATTTTTTTGGCTCCTGGGAAAGAGGAGGGCGACGTGAACTTCAGCAAGAAAGAAAGGGTGGAGCGCAGCTCTGGAGAGCGTCCAACTATTCCCCTTCCCAACAGAAAAATCCATTCTGTTGCATTCAAAACATACTATTGGCAGAACAAACAGCACACACCACTGCCAAAATAGCTGAGAGGAAACACGAGAATTTGACAAGAGAAGAGACCCAACCTTGGGTGGGGTTTGTTTGCCTGCTGTTGCTGTCAAATATTCTAAGTGGTGTTTGGTTTCAGGTGGCACAGTAGGCCTCGGTCACAGATGCTTTCCTTTCTGGACAAATCAGGTACATTTCTTTTTTTCTGCCCATGACTGAAACATCTTTATCGGGGTCCACACACCTTGTACTCTGGATTCCCTAACCATAACTGCCGACCACCACCCATGTTCTCCATGCCACAACCTCCAGCATTTCACAAACGAAAATAGGTACTTACGCCCTTATTCTTGCAAACCAAGGATCCCTCAGTGGGCCACATGGGCCGCCTCGCCCCCACGATTGAGGGGCCCCGGGGCCACACAATGTCAGCATGCTATGCAAGCACATCCTGCAGGTTGCTTGCATGATGTCAGCCTGCCCCGCCGCTGTTGGCCCCATGGCATGCTGACATGTTGTGTGGATTGTTAATTTTTCCGATATATTAATACCGTATTGGCCCGAATATAAGCCACACTTTTTTTCCCTCCAAATTCCGACCGTGCAGCTTATATTCGCGGCCTTACAAAATTTGGCTTTTACGATATCGCTGTAGGATTTTCTTCTACATTTGCCATTTACAGGGTGTGAGAGCCTGTGGAATTTTAAGGAAGCGGCTTATATTTGGGTATTGTCTTTTTCCTCCTCCCCCACCCCTTGAATTTTAAATGTGAGGCTTATTTGTGGGTGCAGCTTATATTTGAGCCAATACGGTACATCGTGAAAGCCTCTTTGCTGGCTTCTCGTTGGTCCCTTCCAACTCTACATTTCTATGATTCTGGATTGACTTAACTCTGCAATAGTCCTGTCCCGGTTCCAAAGATCTTAAAAAGCCCAGAGTTATACTAGAAAAAATATGAAATTGCCTGGTTTATCAAACTTTAAAACAGATGAGGGCAGCTGTAGCACGTGAAATATCAGGGTGTACATGATTCTCGGTGTTCATGCGCATGAATTTACCAGAGCTCTTTAGAACCATTCAGAGCCGGCCCTGCCATTAGGCAGAGTGAAGCGGACACCTCAGGCAGCAGATGCTGGCAGCAAAGGACTGGAGGTAAGGAGCTGGAAGGAAGAACTGTCTGTTTCCCACAGCCTGCCCTGCGCTCCTTAATGTAGCCTGTGTGGTAGAAGATCTCACCCCATCACTACCAGCAGGGACGTACGAAGTGGGGGGGGGAGGGGGCGGTCCGCCCCGGGTGCCACTCTGTGTGTGTGTGTGTGTGACAAGATGGCCCCTGTCTCCTCCCAGCTGTTGAGCAGCCAAGGGCGCGCACAGTCAGTATGAGCGCCACTTGCGTGGCATCTGTACGGGCTGCCGCTCTCTCGCGCCGTCCATAAAGGTGTCCGTACAGGCTGCGTCTTGCACAGCAACCATACGGGCTGCTACACGTGTGCAGTCCATGTGGGCTGTCGCATATGTGCAATCTGTACAGGATGCCGCTCACGCGGCAGCCCGTATGGTCGCCATGCAAGCGGCAGCCCATATTGATGTCCATATGGATGGTGCTGTGCCTCTCTTTCAAATCAGAACCTGTGAAGGTCCTGTGTGAGTGTCTGGAGGCAGTTGGAGGATGGATGGCAGCTAACAGATTGAGGTTGAATCATGACAAGACAGAAGTACTGTTTTGGGGGGACAGGAGGTGGGAGGGTGTGGAGGACTCCCTGGTCCTGAATGAGGTAACTGTGCTCCTGAAGGACCAGGTGCACAGCCTGGGAGTCATTCTGGACTCACAGCTGTCCATGGAGGCGCAGGTCAATTCTGTGTCCAGGGCAGCTGTCTACCAGCTCCACCTGGTACGCAGGCTAAGACCCTACCTGCCCGCGGACTGTCTTGCCAGAGTGGTGCATGCTCTAGTTATCTCCCGCTTGGACTACTGCAACGCGCTCTACGTGGGGCTACCTTTGAAGGTGACCCAGAAACTGCAATTAATCCAGAACGCGGCAGCTAGACTGGTTACTTGGGGCGGCCGCCGACACCATATAACACCGGTCTTGAAAGACCTACACTGGCTCCCAGTACGTTTCCGAGCACAATTCAAAGTGTTGGTGCTGACCTTTAAAGCCCTAAACGGCCTCAGTCCAGTATACTTGAAGGAGTGTCTCCACCTCCATCGTGCAGCCCAGATGCTGAGGTCCAGCGCCGAGGGACTTCTGGCGGTTCCCTCACTATGATAAGCCAAGTTACAGGGAACCAAGCAGAGGGCCTTCTCGGCAGTGGCACCCTCCCTGTGGAATGCCCTCCCACCAGATGTCAAAGAGAAAAATAACTACCAAACTTTTAGAAGACATCTGAAGGCAGCCTTGTTTAGGGAAGCTTTTAATGTTTAATAGGTTATTATATTTTAGTGTTCTGTTGGAAGCTGCCCAGAGTGGCTGGGGAAACCCAGCCAGATGGGCGGGGTATAAATAATAAATTATTATATATTATTATTATTATTACTTGGAGTTGCTATGGAGAGTTGAACCTAGGACCTTCTGCATTCAAAGAAGATGCCCCACCGCTGACCTCTGTCCCTTGCCCCCAGATGCGGTGGAGAAGAGCACCACCTGGTCCTCTGCCTCAGGTAGCAAAATGTCTTGGGCTGGCCCGAGACCCATTCCTGCTTTGGGGCAGATCTGCCAAGCTGAAGGAGAGATGGGCATCAGGATCCCAGCCCTAGCACTGCAGATAAAACCCCAGCTGCACCTCCTCCCGCCTCCCTTGCCCCCGCCAGCATTAACAGCTACAGCTTATCAGACGGCAGAATCTCCCCGAGAGCCAAAGACGAGCTCGTCTTCCATCCTGGAGGCAGTTCCTGCCACATCTTGGCAGAGAAAGCTGAGCTCGCCGTGGAGCGAAGAGGCTGGTTGTGCAAGAGTTGTTTACCTGCAGCTGGAGCTGGGAGGGTGCTCCGCCCCAGACCTCCCCGGAGGCCCCACCCCCTTCTATAAAGAGCCAAGCACTTGGCTGGCAGCATCAAACCACAGAACACACAGACCGACAGAGACGCACACAGGCAGCATGGAAGGCAAAGGGCTAGTGGCTCAGCTGCAGAAGGCAGCTATCTGCCCTGCCTGCAGGGGGCACTTCAAGGACCCGGTGATCTTGGACTGCGATCACAGCTACTGCCGGGCCTGCATCACCCGCTACTGGGAAGAGGCGGCCGCGACTGGGAAGGGCCCCAGGGTTCTCTCTTGCCCCCAGTGCAAGGCAGTTTTTGAGAGGAAGAACCTGCGGACCAACGTCAAGCTGGCGGTGGAGGTCAAGATCACCCAGCATCTCAACGCCAAGACGGCTCACGTGCCCCTCGCACCCAAGCCCAGGAGGCGCCGTGGGGGATGGATTCCTGCAACCGGCATCCAGGAGGAAAAGGTATGACACGAGAGTAAGGGGAGTCGGGGCTCACCAAGGGTCAATGCCAGGACTCAGTTCTAGAAATTGCAAAAAAAAAAAAAGAGGATAGAAGGTCTCTGAGTATGTGCAGAGTGCCTCTCATCAATGAATTGATTTGTTTGGTATTATTACTTTTGCATCTGGCCCTTCTTCCCCAAGGAAAAACCGCAACTAGCCCCTTAAGGTCTCGGGAGAAGGGCTTTCCATGAAGAAAGCATGAATTCCAATTAAGCTACCACCTTTCATGGAAAGGCTTTTGTCGCAGAATCTGAGATAAATTTGCAGGAATCCAGGGTCCTGTGTTTTTTCTTTCTTTCACATTTTTTAAACAAATTCCTTTGCCAGGAAGATCTATTGCTATATAAGGTCCATTTCAAACCTTTCCCTTTAACTGAATATAAACAAGAATGAGGGTGGAAAGAAAGTCGCCGTTCACTTCTGCTTTTAAGAGGACAGGCAGAAATTCAGTCAGTGAAGCTTTTCCCCAGCACTGGGATGCAGAAAACAGTTCCTGTTGAATTTCTGACTGTTACTCCAGCAATTAAAGCCAAGAAAACAGAGTAGATACTGAAGAGCACAGGGATGTTTTCTTACAGTTGGACAGCATCAATAACTGAAAACCAAAGACTTAACCAGGAGCAAGAGATATCCCTCCTTTCCCCTTCCTCGTATGTCAGCCTTTGCCAACTTGGTGCCCTCAATAAGTTTTGGACTACAACTGCAGCTGGGGCTGATGGGAATTGTAGTCCAAAACATCTCTGCCTAGAAGAGGGATGGGGAAACACATGGTCCTTCTGCCATCCTTGACCATTGGCTTGGGCTGATGGGAGCTGAATTCCAACAACATATGGAGGACAACAGGCTACCCATCCCTGCTTTAGAACCTCAGTAGCCTGGCCTAGAACATCAGGAGCAGACTTCATAAGAAAGAACCTCCAAGTGTCTCTATTTTCCAGGGACAGCCCCAGATTTACAGAAGCCATCCCAGTTTCTCATTTGACCCTGGAATGTCCCACTTTTCCTTAGGACGTCCCTATTTTCATGGGAGAAACGTTGGTATGATAAGATGATGAAGAGCTGACACTGGACCTCTTTCAATTTGGGTGTATAGCAACCACAGGGTGAGGGAGCCACATGGATCAACACGACAGGCCTTTTTTCCCTTACCCTGTCACTATGTGCTGTTTCCCTAGGGAAATTCCCCTCCAGCCATGTTCGTACATTTTCTCAAGCAGAGCAAATTTCTCTCCTCCGAGCTACGGGAGAGGCCAGTGCTTAGCAGCAGAGAATGCTCTCTGCACGCTGGTAATTCTCAGCACCTCCAGGGAAGGCTGGGAAGGACTCTGAGAGTTGGAGACTCTGGTGAGCCACTGCGGTCAGGGCTAGATGGGTGAACGGTCCAATTTGTTATCTGGGAGACCCAAGGTTTCCCCATCCTTCCTGCAGGCTTAGGCAGCCATAGCAAGACAACAGGAACACTCGAGTTATGTGGGAAGGCAGGCCTGTCAGTTTGGAGGCTCCCCGAGAGAAACACTCTAGGGAACTACTTCTTCGCTGGAGGTTTTTAAGCAGAGGTAGGATGGTCAGGGGTTCTTGAGCTGTGATTCCTGCACTGTGGGGGGCTCTGTTATTCTGCGGCTCTGTTATTCTATAAACACAAAGCAGGGCATGATACCCATGAAGAACTCTTATTATTTGTATCTCACCTTTAATGGGGATGCATTTTACAGGGGGAGAGAAGGATCTCTGCAGATCCCGAAACCGCACCCTCCTCAAAATCCGAGCAAGGCTCCGTGCCTTTGACCTGCACAGTGAAATATTCCTCGTTGTCTTGCATTTGTCCAGCCTGAGGCTCCAAACTTATATCCACTTGCACGGAAAGAAGCCCCGCAGAACTCAGCGGAACTGAACAGACATGTCTAGGATTGCACCGTCAGACAGCCAGTCCCCAGGATTTCCACATTTAAAATAACATGCGCGCACACACACACGTGCAAAAAATGCCTCAACCGAAACGGAAAACAGGCTTATCTGGTATGCCGTTGACATTAGCATTACAGGTAGCCTGGATCTCAGAGCGGCAGATAGAAAGAGGAAGGAGAGCAAAGCTGCTTTGTATTATCTGGAGGGACAGGGAACCTTCTGCCCTTCAGATACAGAACCTTCAATTGTCGTTATTTTCCAAGGACAGTCCTGGAATGATAGAAGCCGTCCTGGTTTCTGATTTGATCCCAGAATGTCCTGCTTTTCCTTAAAGGTAAAGGGACCCCTGACCATTAGGTCCAGTCGTGGCAGACTCTGGGGTTGCGGCGCTCATCTCGCTTTATTGGCCGAGGGAGCCGGCGTACAGCTTCCGGGTCATGTGGCCAGCATGACTAAGCCGCTTCTGGCGAACCAGAGCAGTGCACGGAAACGCCGTTTACCCTCCCGCCAGAGCGTTACCTATTTATCTACTTGCACTTTGACGTGCTTTCGAACTGCTAGGTGGGCAGGAGCAGGGACCGAGCAATGGGAGCTCACCCCGTCATGGGGATTCAAACCGCCGACCTTCTGATTGGCAAGTCCTAGTCTCTGTGGTTTAACCCACAGCGCCACCCGCGTCCCTTCTGCTTTTCCTTAGGACACCCCTATTTTCATATTGGAAGCTATGCAGATTTTGCTGGATTACAACTCCCATTATCTCTGACCATTAGCTGTTCTGGCTGGGGCTGGGGGTGGGGTGGTATACAAATGTGAAAAATAATGAATAAAATCAAAAAAGTAAGGGGATAGCTTTCGTAGAGGCAGGAAAAAAAGTTGGAGAACCTAGTGACCTCCATTCTGGAAGGGGGATTTCCAAACGCATTGTGAGAGAAAGGAGTAGGGTGAACACTTAATGGAGCAGGGATCTTAGATATTTGATTCAGATATTGGACTCGAATTACAGCGGCCAACTAACCAGGGGTGGTTGGGAAAGAGGCATGGTCTCTTTCGACTAGAGCTTGAGCTGCCTATATCAGCCAGTGAGTCTTTCTTAAGACATGGAAATATGCATAATCACTTGCTAATGTCTGCAGAGCAAGCTGCTATATGAAAGGCACAGGTGCGTGGGCTGGGAAAGAAGTTGGCAACCTTAACTAGAATCTTCATGGAAGGAGGAGATAGAGGAAGAAACTTGATACTACAGGAAAAAGCAAAGAGGAGAATCAGAAGACATAAAGAAAAGCCACAAAAATGGACAACTATGTATTATGTAATAATTACATATTGCATGAGGATGATAGTCATACGGGTGTTTTTAAAATAGTGGTTTCTCTTCTTGCAAATATGCATATATGAGAGCCTAGCAAGGTTTTATGTTTGTGTGTGTATGCAAAGCTTGCTGCTCTTATCATACACTATCCTGAGGGTAATCTGATCTATTTCCATCGGTAATGAATTTAGTCTGATCGCAAGCCCAGATTTGAGTTACAACATCCCTCTTGTGTTTTTTTTACACTGAATTTTCGTTCTCCTGGAAGTCTTAAAACTTGTGCCTTCTTGCTGCTGCAACAAGACGATAATCCGATAAGATCCAGCCTTCCTTACGTAATGCCTACTCAAAACAGAACAAGGCAAAACATAATACGGAATTTGGAATTTAATGGAAGAACCTCGTGCAGTGGAAATTTCATGGGCCTGACCTGCCTTCCCGGATTGCACCAGCCACAATTTCTCGGGCACATCCCACAAATCCTTCGCCTTCTGTTGCTTCAGCATCTCCTACATAGCTAAAGTGAAGATCAGATAGAGTGGCCTTGCTGTTCTCGACAGGCGAGATACGCAGCAATACTGGTGGGGCAGCAGGATGGCAGCACATGCCAATGAGTGATGCCATTGCTGAAACTGGGCATATATTTTTTTTAAGTCTTTCCGGGAAAGCGAGGTCACAAAGTTTTCACTCTTGGCCATTGTTGGACTCCAGCTCCCAACATCCCTGACCATTGACCCCACTGGCTGGGGCTGATGGGAGTTGTAGTTCAACAACAACAAAGGAGACAAAAGGCAGCCCACCCCTAGTGAAGACGCTGGCTGAGCTACATGGATCTGTCTTGTTTATAAGATCTGCTGGCCTAGGAGTGGGCTCCTCTGTGCCTGACTAGGACTGAAGACACCTGGATTCAAATAAGCCACAGATAGGAACATCCCCACCAAGTGTCCCGGGAAAAATGGGACACAAGAGATCTCGGTGGCCATTTTGAGTGCCGCTGTCTCGTGCACTCTGGCGACACGATCTGGCCCTGAAAAAAAGCACCTTTTAAAATTAATATATTTTATTAAATTTCCACAAATTTCACATAAAATTCCAATACATAATAAATTCTTTTGCTTTATCGACTTCCCATCCCATTTTCCATGGGTTTTTTTTTATTCTGTCTCATTGCTGTCTTCACTCTTTAATATCAAAACCATAATACAATAATCTCTAATTATTTCTGTTGCTCACAGTTCAAGTCCTGATTGCGAATTTATCATATTTCGTTAAATTGTCCAGAAAGGGCTTTCATTCTCTTATTTTAGCTGTTAGCTTTGTTTATTCAGTGTAGTCCATCACTTTGCTGATGCGTTCTTCTTTGGTGGGAATTTCTTCATCTTTCCATTTCTGTGCATAAAGAATCCTAGCTGCTGTCGTTACATACGTAAACAATGGAAAAAAGCGAATTTTCAGGACCGCGTGAGATAGAAAGAAACCGCTTTTTCGGGTCACCTGACTTAGCCATATTTCTAACATGCAGCCAAATTCAGCAAACCCCTAGCCAGTTCAGGTATTCTATGTGTTCCAGCTCAAGCACACCTGGTACAACTAATGGAGCCCTTTATTAGTTGCATCAGGTGTGCGTGGGAAAACACCGGTTGTATTTGTGCTGTTGTGAGCAATTCTATTCAGGGGGTTGAACATCAGTGAGCCTGGAGAAACCAGTATAAGTTGCAATTTCAGCTGAATTTGGGGGAACTATGAA